ACAATCCGTGCACATTGTCAAAGAGTGTTTGTCTGTTGAATGAAGAGCCTCCTTTCCACTTCCTCCCGGCCCGATCACTTTGGATTAAACCCTGTGGAAATGTCAAAAGAGCTGCAGAGAGCAGGAGGGCCTCACTCATCGGGCCCTTTATGCAGCAGGGGCCCAAGCGGAGGTTTTAGTGTCAGAAGTGGCAGTTTGTCAGTTCACCCACCTCACTCCAAGCAAGGGTTAAACATATGGAAAAATATGTGTCTCTCTCTCACACAAGCCAAAACAATCTCAGAGCTTCTCTGGTGCCACAATTTTGTTGTCTCGAGACGTCTGTCTCTCTTGCACCTGCGGAAAAAGGAAAATTTCTCCTCAGCTGATCCTCTTTCCTCCTTCTCTTTCATCGTTCTTCCACAACATGAGGCCGAGCATGTCACAGAGAAAAAGGAAAAAAAAATATATACCCTCCGCATGTGCAGTTAGGAATTTAATGCACCTTTATCCTCGTGTGATGCTTTGGGGATGTGAACGTGAAGCCATAATTTATTTTTACATTATCAAGGTGCTGTAATGGACCTGATTTATTGAAACCCTGCTGTTACCCCCACACCTACTCTGCAGATTGCAGCGTGTCAAGTAAAGGGAGTGCTGGAGTTGTGCAGCTAAGCGTTGCTGGTGCCTGGTGGTGCTTGGTGGGCTCCTTCTTTTCAGCCTACTCTACCTAAAGAGAAGAGTTCTGTATGTGTCAAGCTTTCATCCACTTAATGCCCTCTGCAGTTTACATTCCATTCCTGTTTAGTACATGCTGCTACTTCAAGTCTAAGCAGATATTGTTGGTCTTAAAAAGGGAGAGTGAAAAAAGGGAGGGAGAGGGGAGGGAAGTTGGGGAGAGATGGAAGGTCAAGGAGATTGGGAAATTCATCTCGTGGAGATTTTCTGTGAGTGCCTGCCCCCCCGCTTGCATGAAAGGTCGCTCGCCATTTGAATCAATTGATTGGTATGAGCAAAATGGTGCGCTGCCTTTTCGGCTTTCATCTTTCTATGTTTTCCTATCACACGCTCTGGTGGGGACAAATGCGGACAGGTCGTTTGAGCTCAGGAGATGCCTTTTTAAAATGCTATACCTGGGCCGCCGCTGCTGGCGGGAAATAGTGTCACATATTTCCACGAGAGAGCGTCACCCCCACGTCCAGTACGAGCTCAGTCCAGTTTCGTTAGTTTCTGCAACACATTGGCCGTGCCATTTTTTTTTTTTAAAGATGTTTCTCACAGATTGTCCTGCAGCTGCATCAGTGGGTTTATTAGCAGAGTGGGCGAATCGAGTCCCCCTGAAGAATTCTTCTCACGCTGCCTCTGACAGGCTTTGGCTGTCACAGAGAGATGTAACCGGGATGGGAATGCCCAAGTGTGGGTGTATGATAGTGTCTGTCTGTTTGTGCCTGTGTGCATGCAGAGTGTGGGCGTATGTTTGCAGGTGCTACTGCATGTCAGTCCATTTGTGGTTTTTGGATGTCTTAATACATCATCTGCAAATCTGCTGACAAGTTTTCACTTTAGCTTCACTTTGTTTCATCAACTTCCAGTAACTTGCCTTGTTCAACTTTTTGCCATTTTTAATGTTTGGTAGAGCCGGGTGATATGACTGAAAATCAATATCACTATTACAAACTTTCAATGAATGAATGAAATGATTACTTTGGTGCTTTTTTGAGCCATGCACTCTTTTCACATTATGTTCGACAATGTAATGTTCTTCCGAGTGATTAAAAAAATTGGTTGCGTTACCTTTAGGTCGGAGTTTGAAAACTGACCAGAGTATTGGGTTGCAAAAAGTGAAACGTGTTAATTTGGACGTAGCCTGAGGCACATATTTAAAGGGCACGGTTCATGAATGCGCACATTGGGGAAAGTATTAACCGCACTAACCAACATTAGCAAGATTGAGTCGGTAAGAAGTTCTAAATGTCAATTTTGGTACTTTTTCAGCTAAGTGCCCACCCTTAGCTTCTATATCATATGGTAATGTAGTTGCAAGAAACATTCATTTGGAAAAGCCCAATTTGGAAAGTCTTCTTTGTTGGTGTATCACAGCAAACTCCGACATTTGTGATTCCGATACCTTGCTATTCTCTAACATCTGGAATAGCAAGAAACTACCAAACTCAGTCCCGTGCATTCTGGGTTCGATTTCCTCACAAAGTTGTTTGCGAATTCTATCCAGTAGCTAAACCTAAAATTTATGATGTCAGAACTTTTGCCTGGTGTAGCTTATCCCTCTGTACCATAGAGCCCCATTCTTTTCCAGTAACTATTAAAACACATAAGTCTGCACTGAGATACATGTTCCTCCATACTGACCCACGCCAGTTTCCCCATAAGAGCGCCAGAGGCACAGACGTCGCTCTGCTGACTCTGCTTAACAGCCACGAAACAGCTCATGCTTCTTGGATTTTAGTCCAGCTTTTAGCCTAGTGAAGATGCACAGTGGGTTAGTTCTCTGGATTACAGATTTTCTTTCCTACCGCCCGCAGAGAGTCTGTGGGAGCAAGTCAGACGTGCTCAGTGTGAGCATTGACTGTGCACAAGGTTGAGTTCCTTCCCCTGTTGTGTTATTCTCCCCTACAAATGAATTTATGATAATTGAGCAATATTTTACTTTGCTTCAGAATGAGGAAATTGCCCTAGTTGGCCTTGTACAGAAAACAGATCCATTATGTGAGGCTGCCTATATAGACCACACTAAGGCTCTGGTCAGCAAATTTTTAGAACTGGTGTACAAAACTCTTGCTGAGAGTGTTTTTTACTTTTCATCTTCCCGCCTGGAATAAACTCTCCAGGATTCTCCTCATGGCCATCTGAGTAGTTGCTAAACCTCAGAAATTTGAGCCTTTGAGCTGTGAAAGGTTTTATAGAGTGTCTTTGGCAACTAAAAATGTATTAAGTAATTTTCAGTCTCAAGTGCCATCGGTATTCTTTCCTCTGCAAAGTGACATGAGATTTAAGCCACAGAAATGAACTGTTTGTAATGTGTAATGTAACCTTGCCCTTTGTTAGCACCAACTGCTTCACCGTCCTTGTTTTGATTCATTTATCATGCGTCATGTTTTTTTGAGCCAAAGACAATTTTCTACCCTGGTGGACAGTAAAGATCTGTTCTATTCCATCCATATTTGAGTAATGTTTGCTAAAAACGACAGTATTCAGCTGTTTAGGGAAATTATTTAGGCTGTTTTTTAATTTTTAAATCAACTGCAGTATATATTTATGACTCATTTTAAAGATTTGTATCTTCAGTAGGAATGAATGGGCTTGGGGTTGATTGACACAGACGAGCTGGGGTAACCATGAAGTTTTGAGAGACAGACTATCTCATAGGATTTATTGACAATAACACAACCATCAGATATGGTCAGCCTTATACCTTTTTTTTAATTAAATGCAGCACCGAGGCGCAGTTCTCCAAACTTAATAACCATGTCATGTTCACTGTGATTGATGGAAAATCTCAAACAGATTTCAAGTCTCTGCAGAAATTAATGCAAACTATTGGTATTCTGAAAGGTAGGGCATCTTTCTAAATACTTGTATGTTTTTCAAACAGTCAACACTAATAGGCTAAACTCTATAGTCCATTTTACCGTGCATTCACATTGCGAGTGACTTGGTCGAGGATTTGCTCTTCTGGCAAACTGAGTGGTGCAAAAGGTTGGATCTGTGTCGTTGTGTGAAACGTGTATGGACTGGAATCCTGTGCTTAAATTGCCCCCTATCATTTTGTGTATTTTATATAAAGTCAGCATACAGTAGGTACCAAACAAGTAGGGTAAGGAGCATTAAAGTCCGGTAGGAGTGGTGAATCTGGAAAAATGAATGCCACATTAACCACCACCGCATTATCTCAGCATCTATGTTGAAATACTAAATCCCCATGATGAAACTTTGAACTTAGTTTCATCCCTCTAACTCAGATAACAGAAATAAAAAACGTATGAAACATTTGTTCTCGTTGTATTACAAATAGAAGCTGTGGAGAATTGGGAGGCTTGTTATCCATTTTTGGGAAATGAAGAAGCATGAAAATCTGATTAGCTGTTAATAGCCAGTGAAAATGTACATGCTGACAAGCCAGCCTTTTGTTAGGAAATGGAGTTGACAGCAGGTCTCCAGCTGCAAGGCTCAACGACAGCTGACGGTAGTGCTGTCTTGAAAGGATCTTGGCTCGGTCGTCAATCTTTTTCCAGAATGTTCAGCTTCCTGTCATGTTGCTTATCTATTGTTCATGGACCAAAATGCAGTTACTTCCCTCGGTCCCTCCAAACAACAGCTGGGCAAACTTAAGTCCCATCCTTAAGGCTTCTTCTGTAAAGTGTCACCTGTCTCTCATTATCTGTGGATTCTGTTGTTCCCCCCTTTTTTTTTTTTTCTAGAGCCGCCATCGCTTCGTCTTGCAGGGCAAACATTGTGCATTGTGAGCAGAGTAATTCATAAGTAAACAGTGGAATTCCTTTTGGCCGGAATGTGTGTGCTGGTGTGTGTCTGTGTTGCATGTGTGCACGATACTTGTGCGTATGTGCGGTGCCTGGTTTAAAAAAAAAAAAAAAAAAAAATTTATTCCAGCATATAGCTGGTGGCCATGTGTCCCATTGTAAATTGCGGCAAGTTACCGGAGCAAGGAGAGCTTCTGAGGCCGATGTCCTCTTAGGTTGGGGTGGAGTTCAAATAATTACAGAGCAGGTCAAGACCTTTTTCCTGAGGGAGCGATAACTTCAACACAACAGACGTGTCTCAACTCCTAGGCTGAGAGTAAAGGTTGCGCTAGCTTTTTGAAACTGGAACACAGTAGCATAGTGAGAAAGTAAATTCATATGTGGTTCCCGACTCTCCCTAAGATTAGACCGGGCTGACATTCTCAAACAAGTGTAGCTTAGCATGTTAGCTATAAGATCAGATGCAAATATGGACTCATCCATCAAAGGCTAATCTGTAAGTTTGTGGAGGTTGTTTTTGCCCAGATGGCATCCAGTGTGACCAGATGATACCTCATCCCAAGGGAGTGGGAAGCAGGAGATGATCACACCAATGGTTGGCTGGTCGGCACAACTGAAAAGAATCTGGTTAGTCAGCAGTTTCCTTTTGAAAATGGCCCGGGATTGTTGTTGTAAGGGTGTTCAGTCAGGGGAGGAGAGGATTTGGGGGGATAGATCGAGTTATTTATTAGCTGGAGCCATTTAAATGGGAAAACTACCATGACAGAGATCGGTGGAAATAGGAACTGGCGGGCCATGCCAACTGGAAATGCCAGGCGTGGCATCCTGCCAGAGTCGTAACTAAACTTATAGCTGAAGTCTGGGCAGTCTGGATGCTGAGATGAGGTGAGAGCAGAGATAATAAAACCCACGCTGTGCTCCACTTGGGCAGGCACAGCGAACTTTATCAAGATGATCAGATACGAGAGTGGCTGCCTAAGCTTTGTGTCTCCTCATTGAGAGAGCGTATGGGTCTATGAGGTGGACTGGAAGAGGAGGGAGTTCTTGTCTTTTTATTTATGTGACTTTGAGTAGTTTTGCCTCAGGCTAGCTTTCTGTGCTGACGAACACAGTAAAAAAATGTCTCACTCCAAAACCCTTTTTTAGCCATACACTTGCTCTAGGAATGGCAATGTTGGCATTTATAGCTAGACAAGAACTTTTCTGAACTAAAACAGTCTAGAATTCAGTTAAGAAAAGTACAGATCTGAGCTAGCATCCAATGCCATCTTACAGAACGTGAAATCAATACTTGGTGGTACAAACATATTTCGGTTGGTATCAAAAGAGAATCAGAGGTATCTTAACATTGGTTCTCCTCAGTTCGGGGCCCTCACTGTAGCCTGAGGCCAGGCACTGCTTTTTCAGTTTCCACTCCCGTCCTTCAGTTACACCCCCTGCTATTGTTCCATTCATATAACCTGCTGAATGAATGACGGATTTTGAAGCAACCTGCCCTTCGAGGTGTTGCATTTATCTGAGGTGTTTTTACTGCGGCTGGAGATGACATAATGTTTCCGTGATAGATTCCTTCCTGATTCCTGGGTGAGGAGCTGGTTGTAAAAGAACTGGTCGTGGTATGCTGGATATTTTTTATTTTTTTTAAATTTTTTTCCCTGGGGGGACAAAGTTTAAAGCATACTTAGACAGATTTGTGTCATTCTGTTCTGAATGTCAGCTGCTTTCCCAGGATTTGTTCAGTGTGTGCTTGCATGTGTGTATTCACATGTGTGTCATTGCAGTCAGCTGTGATTATCTGTTGCCAACTTTAGATTTAGATTAGAAATACACACATAGCAAGTAGGGATAATTTCTTTGGACATTAGTGCTATTAAGAACCTTTTGAGCTCTAATCATGAACTCTCGAGAAGCCCTCTAAGAGATAATGAATAGTAAAAGTAAACATATCACAATGCCCTGTTTCCCGTCACAGCTTTTGTTTTCCCTCCACCCTTCCAGGGTCCATGTATAGCACTGGGTGTAACCTTTCTCCGCCTTCAACTGAAACTTCAACCCCTATAAATCTCTCTTGTGTTTGCTGCAGGTGACTCAGGCCTCCAAGGTGTGGGGAGAGGTCCCTCTGCCAGAGGACCTGGAGGCGGAGAAAGACGTCAAGGCATCTCAGAGCTTGCTTGACGATGATGAGGACTTTGCTGCTGATGAAGCTTCCGGAGGTATGACCCCCACCCCCACCCCCTCCAAACCACAGCAACAGCTGCCCTTAATTCATGGGAGTTATGTTTTTCATAATGCATTCCTTAGCTTGCTAACTCATCCCAAAACTGACACCAAGGGAATGTTACGCATTTGGATGAACAAAAACTTGCAGGATGCATGCTCTTCAAGGGGTCGCCTCTAGATTTTATTGTTACACAAGTAAAAAAAAAAGCAAAGAAAAAAAAAAAGCATGTGTTCTCCTGACCTTGAACCTGTGCACTGACCAAATCCATTTACTTCTGTCTCTCTCTCCAAAGATCTGCCCAGTGGAGAGGATGATGGGAGCACACCGTGGCCTCCAGTCACTGAGAGCACAAGTAAGGGTCCAGAAAATCTAGTGGATCTAACAATTCCGTATGACAGATTTTATTTATGTGTGGAAGATCATTCAGTCCTCTAAAGCTCCCCCATCTGTGACTCAAGTGGCGGCATGCAGCAATATGTGTGTCTGTGCGCATGCGTGTGTGCATTTGTGCAAGATGTCTGTCTGTGCCTGAATGATGATGCCGACACATCCTGCTGTACCCTCTCCTTACTCCTCGCCAACTTGCCAGAGCCTGGTCATAACACGGGGGCGTCGGCTTTTGTCTTCCGAGACATAAACATCTCCTCTCCTCTTTCATCCTTTTAACCAGTGCAGAGGTGACAGCGCCATAAGATACATGAAAGCTCGATGAACAATAAAAAACTGCTGCAGAGCATCTCTGTTTTGCATTCCATTCACAACTGCACTTTTTTTTTTTTTTTTCCCAGCCCCCTTATTTTTATGTGGACTTGAAAAGTATTTATATGCAGGGACCCCACTATATCACATGGTACTGTAGCAGCGGAAAGTAAATAATGTATTAAACTTTGCATGATGTCTCCCACTCTTTAATCATGCTTGTGGTTTGCTGCTGCTCGTTACGCTTCTGTTCTCGTTGCATTTTTCTTGTTTATGCCATCTCTAAATATCTTTTCATTGCAGACAGAGAAAAAAGTTTCTACCAGTTGACTTTTTCATTAAATACTGTATATCTGCATGCTACTTGGCATCACCCAAGGATGCCTCAAAAATATCAGTTTGGACAGCAAAATGAAACTTCTGACCCAACATACGCCTGGGTCATTGGTCCGAGTTTGGCCCATATACTTATACCATATTCTGGCTGTTATCCTCCAGTTCTGGCTGACACCCGATTTTCTGTGTGTGCACCAGAATTGGTCCAGATGTTGGAGTAGCACCTGACAATCATGCTGTATATGGGCCATATTCGGTCCATGGAACCAGGGCATACTCTGGGCCAGAGGACACACGAGCATGTGGCCTAAGTGTGGGCCGGATGTATTTTGCCATCTTAATGCTGACACTCAACTATAGCTGGATTTATGCTTGACACATGAGGTTAAAGGATAGGTTCACATTTTTTGAAACCCCTTCAACCAGTATTGACATACCTAGAGTATATGCACTATCCCTGTACATACTTATCTCAAAGAGAACCCTCCCTGTACTGCAAGTATTATATTAAGAAAACAACTTATCCTTTAACAGGAGTCCCATCATAGATGCTTATGGTCTGGGTTTTGAATTTCTAGTCAGAAATAGATTGTATCAAGCGTTAATTATATTCCCCACAGTATCTTTGTTTTTTGAAGTTGCATCCAGGTTTATTTTATTCTGCCACTCACTTGAATAGAAAGCAGTGAGCTCTGTCTGATTAAGTCTTGTTCTCAGCCTGCGTTAAACTGTATGATATCAGGTTGAGGCATGTCAGATTGTACAGCGAATGCATGGTGAAGCATGGCTTTATGAAGGGTTAGCGTTAACAGAAAAAAACTATATGAAAGCAGTGGTACATTCATCAGCATGTGTCATCCATCTGCGCCTCTCTTGTTTTCTGAAAATGCAGCTCTGCAAGGTTTTCTTCTTTGCCAGAGTCACAAACTTCTTTTTTTTTTGTCGTTCATCTCCGTTGTTTTTGGTTTTTGTGTGTGTGTGTTTCTTTTCAAAAGATTATTAAAAAATGGTGTATACGCCAGGTCACACCAGCCACCGCATTTTGTGCCACTTCATGTTGTATTCTGATTGGTTGGTTTGTAGAGGACGTGGGACGTGGCAGCAGTCACATTGTGAGAATCTGCTTGTAAATTTCTGACACTGACACTGAATTTTCTTCGGTTGCCAAAGCTCCAAATCAGCCACTGGTGGACGTGTCTCACAGTGCAATGTAGGATCCGCTGTTTTTAGATTGACGACCGCAGATTTTACCATATGTTACCATGATGTTTACATCACAGACAGACCAAAATAGACCTTTAGTCGTCATAGGCCCAATGTGTAGTTAGTTGTTTTTTGAAGAAGTGCAGCAAAGCTACTGACATAACTGCTGAGGTTACTTCATAACCCCTTAACGCACATCTAAAAATCCAGCTTATCACTTAACACAACACAAAGTCCTACTTCTATTGAGTTTATTTTTCTGTGTATGCCAATGTCAATATCCTAACACATCACATCATCAAGACCATTTCCCTCCTTATTCAAGACAAAGGCCTGATAGCTGCTCCGTCTTACTTTGTCCTTGGTGCCAGACGCTGGCACTCGACAGGTTGCTGGAGCTGATGACATCATGGCAAAGTAATTGTTTTGGTTGCTATTGCCAGCTGACATCAGAGCTGAGGCATATAGCATGTGCCTCGCTCACAGAAATAGCACTGTTGTGAGGCCTTGCTGAATTTGTGGTAGTTAAAGGAGCCGGACAGAATGTGATTGTGATGAATTAGGTCAGCAAGGTTTAACTGAAGGTTTAGTCTTGTTTAGTTTTTTAGCAGTGCAGCAATGAAGAGTAAATACAGGAGCTTTTGCAGATCATTTGAGTCACTGAAAGTTTTATGTCAACCTCCTGCAGCAAAGTTGAGGTTGTTTTGAAGTGTGCATTTCTCTGCCAAATCCTGGTGTCAACGATGGCGCCTCTATCCTTCAGGTCCGGGTCAGTTAGTCATGCAGACAGAGATGCACAAAAAGAATATAAAAGTCTTAGAATAAAAATACAGATTTTGCTCTCCTGACAGCACAGGATAGGAAAAATATTCCCTGTTAATGTTCTCACATTTTGTGGTGTGACATGAGCCTACAAACATCCCCTCGTTACTTTGGTTTATTGCTTCTGTTTCCATAAACTTCCCAGCTTTTGACAATGTTCCTTTAATGTGGCAATTAAACAGGAGGCTGAGATTATGCAGTTCTTTCTTTAATATATTGTCTTATCTCGGAGGCGGCAGGACATTTGCATTCTTCTCAGTTTGATCACGGTGCTGCGATTGGAGGAGGCCGGCTATTTCCATATATAGATCTGAGCATGATAGCGATGGGAAGGAAATTCGGTTTCCTGTGCTGAATGCTGAATACTTTTGCTGAGTGTCTCTGTCCTGTTAGCTGTCCAGACCATTCACGCAAGCCTCTGCCTTCCTTCCCTCCTCCACTACTGTAAAGTGGAAAACGTAGGTGCCACAGTTGCCTCCATTATGCCTTGTATCCTGTTGTGTTACTATTTGCAGAAGGTTAAGGAATTCCCATTTCCCTCTGTCTCAGCCTCATACGTTGATGATGTGAAAAAGGAAAAAAAGAAAAGAAAAGAAAAACATCTGGAGTGTAAACAGTTATTGAGATCAGGCTATTTTGAAAGTCTTTTGTTCATTGTTGTTCTTTGTTCTGTCTAATCACAGTCTGGAATCTTCTCTTGAGATACGAAGGTTGCATCCCATGTCCTCCTGACCTCTCGTTTTGACCTCCACACTAAGAGCCCCAAAGAGATTTCTGGGAGACAAAATCTAGTTTATCTCATCTGTGAGAGCCTTTCCTTGTTCCACAGGCTCTATTACAAGGCATTCCCAGTGAACTGAGCATATTAGCCACTTTGTTTAGAAGCAAAAGAAAGAAAGATTACCATGGTACTGGTGATGGTGGCTGCTGAGGGGCTGCTGGGGTTAAGTTGCTCCCAGTGCTAATTTTGGATGAAAAGCTTGAGAATTCAGATCTCTAGACTAATGACCTGACCGATAAATGAACCAGGAAAATATATTTAGCTGATATAAACTTGTAGAGTTTAGAGAACATACTGTGTATCAGGGTTTAATGATATGCAAAAGAAATCATATTACAATTCTGATGAGTCATGATTGTAGTAGGAATGGTAATCTTTGCATTTAATTTTCACTGAAAAAAATAAAATAAAAGTGATGATAATGTGATTTTAATTTTTTATTTATACATTTTTTTTGGTGTCTGCACCAAACACTTATATGTTTGTATGTTGGGACACGTTTTACTTTTATGAAAAAATTGCACTTCCTGCGATTGGCCCTGGTGTGATTTTTGATAATATTTCGAATAATTGTTCGGCCATATTGTATCGCCGTACATGTAAAAATGACAATGACAAGAAATTCCAAATATTGTTTCGAAACAATGTCACCAGTCTATAGACTGTCCACCAGAGAGTAGCATTTCCTTATCGCATTTAAAGTTGCACTAACTGATTTTTTTTTTTTGGCCTCCTGGGGGCAGTAGATCCTGTAGTTAAGGAGCAACATTTAGTCATATTTTGTCATGTGTGGCTGAACACGACGCTGTGAGACGCAACGATGACAATCATCACCACCCACTCCCGGCAAAGAACCACAGTTGACGGCAGAGAAAACTTACAAATACCCCTTTTAGGGAAGGAACATTATCAAAGAAAAAAATGTATTAGTTCGTTCCTGATTAAGCAAAGCTCGGGAACCACCACAAATCATTTAAACAATGATCACTGCATATTTGGCCAGAACCTGAACTAGACTTAATGTTTAAATTGTGATCATGTGTAGCAGAGAAAAGACTATTAACTGTATTTCTTGAAGTCAAATGAAGTCTGTTTAAACTCATAGTGCCATAAACAGTCACTGATTTACTCAGTGCTGTGTGACATGTTGATTTGAGATTAAACATGCAGCTTGGAGTTTCTCAGTTGATTTAAGTAGTGAGAGCAGTGAGATGCCTTCTGTGCTAAGTCTTCTGGGATGTTTTATGTAAACTTATAGGTCAGGCTGTCCTTGAACTACGCAGATGGACTCGAGTGGAGGCTGACTCACAGACAGGTTGCTGCATTCTTGTGTAGCCTCAGCTGGTTTTTCTTCTTAATCACATCAATTACTAGTGGCTGCTTGCTGACAAAACACAATCCAGGTTCAGATTCCTCCGTTATCTCTAGAGGAGAACAGATGTTGCAGCATAAGTGGACAATACATCAGGGTAATGTAGCCTGTCTGTCAGTTTGGCCCGGGCAGCAGGACA